GCTAGAACTGATCCATGAATTCAGCAAAGTGGCAGGATATAAAATCAATGCACAGAAATCAGTTGCATTCCTATACACCAACAATGAAACAACAGAAAGAGAAATCAAGGAATCTATCCCACTTACAATTGCACCAAAACCCATAAAATACCTAGGAATAAATCTAACCAAAGAGGTGAAAAATCTACACACTGAAAACTATGAAAAGCTTATGAAAGAAATTGAGGAAGGCAAAAAAAAAAAATGGAAAAATATTCCAAGTTCCTGGATAGGAAGAACAAATATTGTTAAAATGTCAATACTATCCAAAGCAATCTACATATTCAATGCAAACCCTATCAAAATAACACCAGCATTCTTCACAGCGCTAGAACAAACAATCCTAAATTTTGTATGGAATCAGAAAAGACCTCAAATAGCCAAAGCAATCTTGAAAAAGAAAACCAAAGCAAGAGGCCTCACAATCCCAGACTTCAAGCTATATTACAAAGCTGTAATCATCAAGATAGTATGGTACTGGCACAAAAACAGACACTCAGATCAATAGAACAGAATAGAGAACCAGAAATGGACCCATAAACGTATGGCCAACTAATCTTTGACAAAGCAGGAAAGAATATCCAATGGAATAAAGATAGTCTCTTCAGCACGTGGTGCTGGGAAAACGGGACAGCGACATGCAGAAAAATGAACATGGACCACTTTCTTACACCATTCACAAAAATAAACTCAAAATGGATGAAAGACCTGAATGTAAGACAGGAAGCCATCAAAATCCTCGAGGAGAAAGCAGGCAACAACCTCTTTGACCTTGGCCACAGCAACTTCTTCCTCAACATGTCTCCAGAGGCAAGGGAAACAAAAGCAAAAATGAACTATTGGGATCTCATCAAAATAAAAAGCTTCTGTACAGTGAAGGAAACAATCAGCAAAACTAGAAGGCAACTGATGGAATAGGAGAAGATATTTGCAAACGACATATCAGATAAAGGGTTGGTATCCAAAATCTATAAAGAACTTATCAAACTCAACACCAAAAAAACAGATAATCCAGTGAAGAAATGGGCAAAAGACATGAATAGACACTTCTCCAAGGAAGCCATCCAGATGGCCAAGTGACACATGAAAACATGCTCAATGTCACTCATCATCAGGGAAATACAAATCAAAACCACACTGAGATACCACCTTACACCTGTCAGAATGGCTAACATTAACAATTCAGGCAACAACAGATGTTGGCGAGGATGCAGAGAAAGAGGATTTCTTTGGCACTGCTGGTGGGAATGCAAACTGATGCAGCCACTCTCGAAAACAGTATGGAGGTTCCTCAAAAAATTGAAAATAGAACTACCCTATGACCCAGCAATTGCACTACTAGATATTTATCCAAGGGATAAGATATGCTGTTTTGAAGGGGCACATGCACCCCAATGTTTATAGCAGCACTATCAACATAGACAAAGTATGGAAAGAGCCCAAATGTCCATCAATGGATGAATGGATAAAAAAGATGTCATATACAGTGGAGTATTACTCAGCAATCAAAAAGAATGAAATCTTGCCATTTGCAACTACGTGGATGGAACCAGAGGGTATTATGCTAAGTGAAATTGGCCAGAGAAAGACAAATATCATATGACTTCACTCATATGAGAACTTTTAGACACAGAACAGGTGAACCTAAAGGAAGGGAAGCAAAAATAATATCAAAACAGGGAGGGGGCCAAAACATAAGAGACTCTTAACTATGGAGAACAAGCAGAGGGTTACTGGAGGGGCTGTGGGCGGGGGTTGGGCTAAATTGGTAAGGGACATTAAGGAATCTACTCCTGAAATCATTGTTGCACCATGTGCTAACTAACTTGGATGTAAATTAAAAAGTAAAATAAGGACTGTGAAAAAAAAAAAAAGAATCACCAAATCATGATTGGCTATTTTTAAAATGCCTCCCGTTTGCATGCAGTGTTAGAAACACTTAATAAGACCCTGTGAATTGAATGTTGAGGTTTGCTAGAGAGAAAACGTACCCTTTGATTGCTCTGTGTTTCTCCTGGAGCTAATGTTATGATCGATAGGTTGCTGGCATAATTTAGATCAATCAGGAGTTTAATTGCCATTTGGGAAAGTAGTTCTTTTTAAGAAGTGGAAAAGCAAAAGAGAAGAGGGAATTTATAGGGTGTTGAATCCAAGCCTTAAAAAAAAAGAAAGAAAAGGAAAAGGAAAAGGCTGTGTAGAGAAATTGTTGAAGCCGGTGTATGCATTTTCAGAGTCTGTATGTCTCCTGACTAACAATGTCACGGATTTGTGACTACCTTTGTCTAAAAGGATGCTAGTTTCCTCCTCACATCATCTGACTTTCAAATGAAACCCCAAACCCTGGGGGAAAGGATGGTGCTCTGTGGAACAGACAGTTCAAAGAGTCATCATCTTCAATTAGTCCAGAGCCTGAGTTAATGAAAGCACTGCTCAGCAGCTTCCTTTCTATGGGAGCAAATTGCTGCACTGCTGAACTTCATTAGCCAGCTCTTGCCTGCTCCCTCCTTGCTTGGGATGAGTTATAACACTGGCCCCATAATTGGCTTGACCATGTAAATATCTGCTCAGAGTTATCAATAACAATGTCATGGTGCCCAGTACAGTTTTGATCAGGGGCAGAACTATACATGTATGGGCTCTAGCTTGGGTGACTGATGGGACCCTGGGGAAACCCCTTATTCTCCAAGTGCCTGGTTTTCCTTTTTCACACCAGAGTGATCATTGCTGCTTCCTGGGAGCTTTCCAAGAGAAGAGTGCTTAAAGTCTGTTTAGTTCAACTTAATAAGAATTTATTGAGTACCTATTGTGTCCAGTAATTAATTCAGAAGGTATGGTAGCCATCACACTTGCTGTTGAGCAGCGCTTTGTTAGTTTATATGTCACTAGTTCTCTGAAACTATAAATGAACTGAATTCAGTTTCGATTGAGTGGATCCCAGGATTCTGAGTCAATTCTTGATTTTCAAGATTGTCCCTAATTCTGAGTCTGGGGTGGGGGGGAGGGGGTAGGAGGGAATCCCAGAAGAGGCTCCCAGGGCATTTGCACCGGTGGATTGTAGTGATTGTCTGACTCTTAATGTCAGCCCATTTTCTAGATCCCTTCCTTCTTGCTGTGCTTATGAGGAAAGAAGGAGAAACTTTTCTTCATCTTTTTTTTAGTACCAGCTTTATTGAGATATAATTGGCATAACAGGCAATTCACCCATTTAAAGTATATGACTCAGTGGTTTTTAGTGTATTCACAGAGTTGTGCAACCATCACTGTAAGCAATCTTAGAACATTGTCATGATCGCAAAAAGAAGCCCCATACCCTTTAAGTAGCCCTCCATGCTCACGTGCACCCCTGCCCCTGTGCTCCCATGCACCCAGCCCCAGCACTCCCGTGCACCCTTACCCCCGCCCCAGTGCTCCCCTGCACCCCCACCGCTCCCATGCACCCCTGCCCCCAGCCCCAGTGCTCCCATGCACCCCTACCCCCACCCCAGTGCTCCCCTGCACCCTCACTGCTCCCATGCACCCCTGCCCCCAGCCCCAGCCCTCCCGTGCACCTCTACCCACAGCCCTAGGCAACCACGAATCGACTTTCTGTCTCCATACATCTGCCTCCTCTGTACATTTCATTCAAATAGAGTCATGCATATTTTTTCCTTTTGTGTCTGGCTTCTCTCCTGTAACATGTTTTCTTTCTTTTTTTTTTTTTTTATATTTAAAAAAATTTTTTTTCAACGTTTATTTATTTTTGGGACAGAGAGAGACAGAACATGAACGGGGGAGGGGCAGAGAGAGAGGGAGACACAGAATCGGAAACAGGCTCCAGGCTCTGAGCCATCAGCCCAGAGCCTGACGCGGGGCTCGAACTCACGGACCGTGAGATCGTGACCTGGCTGAAGTCGGACGCTTAACCGACTGCGCCACCCAGGCGCCCCTCCTGTAACATGTTTTCAAAGCTCATCCATGTTGTAATATGTACTGATGCTTCATTCCTTTTTATTGCCAAATAATATTCCACTGTATGGATGGACCACGTTTTAGTTATCCATTCATCAGTTGATGGACATTTGAGTTGTTTCTGCTTTTTGGGTATTATCAACAATGCTGCTGTGAATATCTGTGCACAAGTTTTTATGTGCCTGTGTTTACAGTCCCTTTGGGTATACATACACCCAGGAGTGGCTGGATCATATGGTAATTCTGTGTTTAACCCTTTGAAGAACTAACTGCCAGACTGTCTACCAAAGTGGCTACCCCACTTTACATTCCCACCAGCAGTGTGTGAGGGTTCTGATTTTTCTGCATTCTCACCAACACTTATTATGACCTCTTTGATTCGCTCTACCATTTGGTTTCCTTCTGGAGCATCCACAGTAGGGTAGACTCTAGAAGTCAGCTCTTACTTTGTAGATGTGTTTAGTGTGCTACATACTTTCTTTTGCCTTTCCAGATCCTCTTCCTCCCTGCCTTCTGTGCTCTGGGGGGACTGACCTCTGTGGACTGGCCCCCTGACTTCCCAGCTTTCTAGCTTGCATGGGTTCAGCCAGTGAGATCAGAAAGAAGGAGGAAATGAGAGTGGGGTATTTATTCTCCCACCTGTAGTCCTACTAAAGGCCTCAGCTCCCACCAGGCAGTGCCATCCACAAAGCTGTCCTCTCCCATCTGTCCATGGCTCATCCTTCTGCCCCCTCACCCTAGCAGCGGTAACGGCTGTCCATTGTTGCTAGACTTGGGGTTCCGTAACGTTCCTGTTGGTTTCCCTGAGCCTTGCCCTCAGCTTGTAAGTAGTCCTTCTGTTAAAGTCACCTCATGTGTGTGTGCCCTCCGTTTTCTGCTGGAGCCCTGGCTGACATGGGGAGGGACTGGTTCCCTGTCATCACCCTTCTGTTGTTGGACTGCTCTTTCTGTGTCAACTGAAGACTGCTTGCTGAAGAATTATGTACCAACAGCAGCTGTTTGTGTCATTACAGGCTTATATAAAACTCGGGGACTTCCAGAAAGCAGTAGTGGATTGTGAGTGGGCTCTGAAGGTAAGAAGATGGATCTTTTTTCCACATGATGGAGCCTGGCCTGCCAGGCAGGGCATCTCGGTCCTGAAGGGAATGGAGGGGAGCGGCCAGAGTTTCATGGTGGGCCATGAGCTCTACAGTCAGAGCCTCGGTTTCCTCATCTGTAAAATGGGATAAACGGAATTGTTGTAAGGGTCACGGTAACGCATATGGAGCACCCGGCTCGTAGTAAGTACTCCAGAGAGGCTGCTGTTAATGCTGGTTTTTCAAGGTTTATTTTGCAAGGGCTCATTCTTTTCTGCTGTATTATCAGCAGCTCTGCTTCATGTGGCAGTGGTAACGCCTCTTTCTGTTTCTAGAACCAACCACAGGAACTTGTTTGTGCAGTGTTGTTCTTCCTCATCAGTTTGTGCTTTTCCTCTAGCTCCAGTAATCTGGCATATTTGCAGAGGAATGATCAGCACGTAGAATTCCTGCTGTTCAGCCTGGATACTAGTCAGGGCTCAGGCAGATCACATACTTCTGTGCAGGATACTTCCTCCCAAATCTGCCAAAATAACTCATTTAAGGTGAGGAGAGGTAAGGACTGTCGGTGGAAATAGTACAAGAGTTTTTAAAAGAGAAATGTCATGATCACTTCTTAGGGACATTATTTCAGATGACTAAATATTTAAAGAAGTCTTCATCCCGTTCAGCTGAGTCGCTGTGTTGTAGGGGCTTTAACTGAAGAACCAAAACGAGTGTTTCTCTCTTCACGGAAGGGCTGCTGACAGAGGAACATGAGCACCGGGGGGGGGGGGGGGGGGGGGGGGGGGGGGGGGGGGGG